AAAAAAAAAAAGTTGGTACCTGACAACTTTCCCAGTGCTTTCCCCCATTTTTTAAATTGCTCTTCTGTTTTAGAATAAGTTTATTATAAAATATTAGATTTATATTTGAATTTTGAATGTCCTATGTCATGTCATAGACAAATAATAATTGCAGAAATCAACATCTTTATTTTTTGTTGACACTTTAGTTTTAATTTCTTTTTATTTCATTTACTTTTAGAAGGTTTGCCTATATTTCTAACAAAGCAGGGACCCTAAGCTTTTTATTATGTCTATTATATAAACTTGAAGTTTGACTCCATTCTCTTTGTTCTGAGTCTGTCTGTATACTTCCTTACAGTGAAAGGTCGCTTGTACTGAGTTTTTTTTTATGTTGAATGTGTGGCTAAATTTACTTGAGTAAAAGGAAAAGAATTTACTACTATAGTTGGAGACACTAGAGGGTGCTATAAGAGCATATATGTGACCCTCAATTGCCAGTTACCATTGATTTTAAGTAACATATCCATCCACAAGTTTAGTTATAATAAACTCATGCTTATTTTATTTTCTTAGCCTACATGTATGGAGCTGCCAGAGGAACTGCTTCAACTCAAGGACTTTCAGAAACAGCGCAGAGAGAGAGCTGTAAAAGAATATAGGGTGAATGCACAGGGACTCTTAATAAGGACAGTGGTACATCCAAAGAAATTAGTGACAGAAACAGCAGGAAAAGAGAGAGAAGTCAGAGGTTTCTTGTTTTGTAAAAATTCTAGGACAGATAAATCTCCAAGTTTTACATCTCGCGAATATCTTGAGGATATGAATTTTCTGAAAGAAGAATATAAGAGTAAACAAACTACAGAACTTCAACATCTACTTCCCAGAAAGGAAGGGGAAGCCAGCGAGGATTCCCGCAACAAACTCATTTGCCTGGAGTCAGAGGGGTCAGAGGACCAGAAAATAACTCAAAAAGAAAACTTTACAATACCCCAACCTGAGTTGCAGGCAAGTTTATCTTTGAAAGAGGAGATAGAACAGTTATTAATGGTGAAAAACAAGGAAGATTTAAAATGTTCAAAACAGGATGTTTCAGTGTCTCCTTCTCTTGTTCAGGAAACCACAGTATTTCCAAGTGATGCCTTTCATCCTTTAAGAAGAACTGTGCTTTCCACACTTCCTCCCTGTCCAGCCTTGGAGAAGACTGATCCCTGGATAAATCCTTCTCTAAATGAGCCTTAGAGATTTGCAATTTGTTCTTAAGGCCAGAAAGGTATCCCATTTCCCCTGCCATCAGGACCTTCCACAGTACTTAAATTTCTTACATTGTAAATTTAGTAATGCATCAGTCACAGGCTTCGGGGAAGTTTATATCTTCTTGCTTACTCCTGCATTCCTGGTATTTGGATAGAGTAGGAATGAATAAATTAAATGGAAGAAGTAAAATTTCTGATTATGCTATGGTACAGAAATGTTCCCAGTGGCCAGAGTGAATTATTTCTTATAATTTGGGCTTAGAGGATTTGAAGAAAGGAACAATCTTGGGTTTAGTATCAGGAAGAATCCATAATTTCAAAATTTGGGTTTTTGGTTTTTTTTTTGGCTTTTAGATTGGTTTAAAAGGAGTTGATAAAACTATTAGTCATAAGTTTTTTTAAAAGTTGTACCTGGCTCGGCGCCCATAGCACAGTGGTTACTGCACCAGCAACATGCACCAAGGCTGGCAGTTCAAACCCGGCCCAGGCCAGCTAAACAATGACAACTACAACAAAAAAATAGCCGGGCGTTGTGACAGGCGCCTGTAGTCAGCTACTTTAGAGGCCGAGGCAAGAGAATCGCTTAAGCCAAAGAGTTTGAGGTTGCTGTGAGCTATGACACCACAGCACTCT